TACGTAGATGTGATTGGCTTAATTTTTCAAAATAAAAGCATAATAAAGCAAATTTATAGAGAGATTAGTCATAAATTTATATCAAAACAATAAACTCAAATAAATTGCCACTATGTTTCTCATGTTTCTGTCAAATTCATATGGACATAATTGGTTTTTTTTGCTTTATGTGCACATAGGGTCTACTTAATCCGATTCAAAGCTTCAAGCATATTTCACTTGCCATTATCAAGTGATTTGGTCTAACTTATTTTGCGTTAAGTTTTGAATGTTCTTGTCAACTTCAACATCATTTGAAGTCAGATGCCATCGATGGGATAACGTCTTTTCCCGATGTACGATCGCAGATCTCACACAATTTTGTGAGAATGCAAAATTTTAATCAAACATTTGCTACTTCATACAGTATTCCCTCTCGTCAATGTTTTATCCCACTAACTATTCTCTTCGAATAACCCATCTCTACATTTGCTCGAGCCTTGTTATTATTAAAATACTCTTTGCTATACATTTATTTATTTATTTAGTTGACTTTGGCTTCACAGAGGGGAGGAGCATCAAAGTGAAAAAGGTCGAGATGGGGGGGGGGACAGAAGAGTGTTTCAAAGATGTAAAAGAGACAGACACAAAGTTGGAAAAAAGGTGAGGTGAGTACGGTTGAAGTAGTCGAATTTGACATACAATGGGGTGATAGAAGTTTGAAGTGAGAAGTCAACTGCCGGTTAATAGACTTTTTTGCCGTATGAGTATACGTTGCCCAGGGTGCACCACGTGGAGGTAAGTCTATCGCACACCCCCTTTTCTAAACACAAAAGGAAGATAAATCGAAATGTTATTTATTTCGCTACTTATCTACCGCCACATCTTATCTAGTTGGAAAATATCTAAAAAACATTCATGGTGAACGATAATAGCAATTGGAGGTATTTTTATGTACCTTATTAGCAATTACCATCAATCTCAAATAAGTATAACTCAGAACAGTCGACTATTTAGTTCACTATTTCTGAAAGCTTAAAACTTCCTTAACGACCCCTGGAATTAGGGAATAATAATTAGCTGTCCATTTAGAGTTCACATTGTGAAAAGGAATTTGGCTTTTAAATCACACAGCACCTTTTTACCTTCTTATCCATCCTTGAATTGTAATATTTTCTTAACTCTAAAGCCTCATTCAAGGAAGTACATGCTCTCTATTTCCTTTAGACTGTAATGCATTTGGGGGTGGGGTGGGGGGGGGGTGGATTTTTAGCAGGACACACACACCCGGGTGTACAAAATACATTAGATGAGTGATTGCATGGCCCAATGCCTTCTTCACACGCTTGTTGCATCCGCCATGAAGAATTTTTTAAGCTATACTGCTTCGCATTAATTGTTCACTTGACGTTTTGCAGCCCGGACTTGTACTCCCAACCCGGATATTGGACAGGGAAGTTGTAGTTGCATTTTCTCTCTCTCCTTTTAATACCAAGAGGAGGAGAAGGAGGAATAATGAGGATAGGAGCATTTTAAAGTTGACTTTTAGCTGCGAGAAATGGCACTTGTACTGTCAGCGCACAAATCCACGCCATTACAAAATTAATCTCCATACAGCATTTGATTTCATGTGCAATTAGATAAATCAATGAATTTTCAGTTTAAAATAAAACCTTCATTACCCTGCACTGTATTAATCGTATCTCTCAATGAGACCTGTTACATTTCACAGTTATTGATAGTCGTCCGCCTACTTTGCCAATTGGATGATTTAATGACCAATAGAAATGGGCCAGTGTACAGCACTCATAAAGTGCAATCTGCATTAGGCACTTTCTTAATTCACTGGCGCCACATTATGGTTGGTGAATTGTTCCATATTGTTTTCGGGGAGCACTTACCAAAAAACAATGACTTGATTTCACCTCCACTCTTCTCAGTATGAAACAAAATTGCACTATTTATCACGCAAGCATAGCAATAATTCCTCTCCCTTGAATATCAAAACTTTAAAATTTTGTGGTAGTTTGAAGTGAGAAGTCAACTGCTCTTTGATAGACTTTTTTGCCGTATGAGTATACGTTGCCCAGGGTGCACCACGTGGAGGTAAGTCTATCGCACACCCCACTTCTAATCGTATGGAGTTGGAAAATATCCCAGCAAGGGATAAAGTGCGGATCAAATAGGCACCGGAAATATTTCCTCTTTTATTTTTACTTTTCTTCAAAGGTTAATTTTAATAGTTTAATCCTAGGGTATCTGATGGATTGTGGTCTCTATCGCGATGTGAGTTTTCTAATTAATCGAATGGTTGCATAAGTAAAAAAAGCAAAAAAACCTCTTTATATTTGGAAGTAGTCAGTAGGTTCGGATTTTACTCAAGGACATTGTGTTTCTGAGTCATCATTGTAGTCATGTTTCTTTAAATCCGCCTTTTTAACAATTGCGCCAATTCAATTGATTACACCTGAGTTTGATTTGATTTTGATGTCTTGTATAAGGTAATCGTCTATCGGAATCAATTGCAGATTGATTGATTGGCGTATACGTGTTGCTTTTTAGAAGTTTCAGAAACTTGTGTAGGAACTTTTATACCTTACTGCGACAATTTGCGCCTGAAAACACCTGAACGGTAACCTTAAATTTTCTGTTTTCATAGTGGTTTAAAATCTCCTATTAATAAAGTAACATTTAGGGGGAGGAATTTATTTGATAAAAAGTGCTACTTTAAAAAGTAACGTACGAAAAACTTGATCCAATTAAGCTTATTTCTTCATTTGCTATTCTGGTACAAAATATGGCAGGCAATGTCAGAAGGGTGTTTGAAGACGTCTCCAAATCCATAAAATGTGGATTTACTGACCTTTCCTACCCCTCCCCCTCCTCTCCCTCCCTCCCNCCCCCCCCCCCCCCCCCCCCCCCCCCCCCCCAATTCCCGTGATTCATCCAAATCTGAAATTGCATTCAGTGGTGCACATTAACTTTTGCATTAGATATGATAGTTCAAGAATGTTAGTACAATCTACTGAGGACTAAGTACAGGTATCCAGAGGTCCGGAACTTCTCCCTAAAAATGACATTTTAGTGCACCTCGCCAAATCACACTGTGGCCAATATTCGAGTGTACGAATGTTATCGCGTGTGTCAACCGATCGTTTAAAACAATCACTCTGATCTTAAGCACTATTCGCCTTGATCGAATCTAGTAGCACCACTTTCCACTGTAAGGAAGGCTGAATAAAGTACTGGTTAAGACGCTAAACGAAAAATCAAATTTACCGCTTTGAGAGCACTTAATTAACTGACGAGAAGCGAGTTTAATTAAATCCGATTTTAGAGGACTTAAAATGTGAATTGATTTGAGCGAACAAAATCTTGTGAATTGACTTTTTTTCAAATAATTCATTTTTTTCTTGAAATTTCATCAAACGTGTAAGGAATATCGATGGGTGTAATTGAAGGATAAACTGTTAACTATGAGAATTCAAATCTTCTAAGGTAACTAAGCCGTCTAAATTTCCTTAGGTCGTTCTAAGTATTTTTTTCAACCAATCACTTTTAACCAAAATAATTCACGCTCTAGAGGAAGAGTATATTTTTTGCTAATTTTCAATTTAGTATACTATTAATTTATAGCGTAAAATTTGCAATTCATGCATTGATTTCATATTCATTGTCATGATTTAGGGTCTGGTTTTTTATTGCTTATTTTAGTTGAAACTTTAAAACCTTGCTTTCCCATTTTGCTAATTCCATAAACCCTGAAATTGCCAAAATATGGGATTTTGGAATCTAGTATTCCCACTTATCCAATTCTCTTCCTTGTTGCTTGGCCTTATGCCAAAATTGCAGACATTTCTTTGCGATTCGCCACATTCATACTATTTACTTGCAGCACAAATTGGCTTCACTAATTACTTGACGGATGTCTCCTTCGGTTCCTTAGTGAAGCATCGATTCACAATCCTATTTCTATTGTTTTTTTGTTCTTTTTGGCGAATCTCACAATTAAATAGTTTATGCTTGATACTTATTTATTTATTTCAATTGGGAGGCGTTTTGATAGATATCATTAGCCATTTAGCTGAGTTCGGGCTTCACAGAGGGAAGGTTCATCAAAGTAGCAGAAAGTCGAGGGGTGGGGAATAGAAGAGCGATTCACAGATGTAAAAGAGGCAGACAGACTCAAGAAAAAGGTAAGGTGATTACCGTGAAAGAGGTCGAATATGACAACTAAGGGGGGGGGGAGTCGTGGGGGAGGGGGAGGGGAACAGAAGAGTATTTCAAAGATGTAAAAGAGAGAGACATAAAAGGTAGAGTGAAAAAGATGAGGTGAGTACTGTGAAAGTAGTCGAATATGACATACAGTGAGGTGATTGTGTTTTGAAGTCGGAAGTCAACTGCCGGTTAATAGTCTTTTTTGCCGTATGAGTATACGTTGCTCAGGGTGCACCACGTGGAGGTAAGTCTATCGCACACCCCTTATGCTTGATACTAATCAGAGCAATGTGATGGTATCTTTTTTGGTTTATCCCGCTAGGCTTTTTCTGGAATCGAGCTCGGTCATGGTTAACTCTGGAAGAACACTGGGTAGATCCGCAGAAAGCCTACGACGTATTTCGGACTAAAGTCCTAGAGTACATGTGCGACAATAACACTTGGATCTGCTGCACTGCAGGAGTAATGGATGTTACTTGTGGCAGTCCACCAGCAACAATGCAAGAGCTGGTTTACATATTGATGGATCCTACCCAGAATATGCCAGTCCTCTTCCTCTACTGGTGGTGCACTCAGGTTTGTTGACTTTATGTACTTCTGTTCACACCCAACCTCGTATTTTGGCCTATTAGTGAAGGTCATGGTTTCAAAAGTGGATTTGAGAAGTGAAGGCTTCGATAATGCTTCAATATTTGGTGTCGGAGAACGTAGTAGATATTCTTTTTTGTAATTATCACTGCCAATAATGCCTTTTTCGGCTAAGATGGATGTTCTTCGCATTCGAGTTTGCGTTCATTTTATGAAGATTATTGGTTTTTTTATGCAGAGTGGCCTCTTTCCCTTACCCAATAATGATCAATATTTGAGGTAAATCGATTAGAACCAAGCAAGTGAGATTCGACTTGGTTAGAAGCTTAGTCTCCCGAGAGTATGAAGGTAAATACCAGTTATTACCTCTTAGATTTAGGGGTGAGTGATAGACTTACCTCCACGTGGTGCACCCTGGGCAACGTATACTCATACGGCAAAAGTCTATTACCTGGCAGTTGACTTCTGACTCCAAACCACCATGACCCCACTGTATGTCATATTCGACTACTTTCACAGTACTCATCCCACCTTTTTCCCACCTTATCTACCTTCGTCTTCGATGCACTCTTCTGCTCCCCCCCCCCCCCGCCTCTTGAATTTTTTACACTTTGATGTTCCTTCCCCTCTGTGAACCCTGAAGTCAACTAAAGGGCTAATGATAAAAATCAAAACGCCTGCCATCTGATATAATAATAATAATAACTCCTTCAAATGCGTCGATGTCATTGTGTGAGTGGCAATACTGAATGCCCTTTTAATTCAAACAGAGACGTGACTGCTTCTATTTTGGATGGTACTTTTAGTACATCAGTAGTAGCGCGAGAGTTGGAGACAGTGGAGTGAAAATTCCCAACTGCCAACAGGCCATCACTTCAGCCGGTGAATCATCGTCCAATGGAAATATGGCGATCGGGGTGTGTGGGGGGGGGATAAAAGCGATGGTTCTAGCTGCGTAGCCGTGCCCTTTACAGGCTTCACAAGTTTAGACAGTCGAGTCTCGAGTTACACATAAATCATTTATTTGAAAAAAATTAACTTTTTTGTCCGATAAATATAGACCAAAACGAAATGTCAATTTGAGTTTATCCATTTAAAACAATCGATATAAAATGTGGATAGAATAATGTAATACAGTTTAAATAATTCAATGTCAAGTCTGTGTTAGTTGACTGTTTGTATGTTGGTCGTAACGGCCATATAAAAAGTAGCAACAATTGGATGGACATCAGTCCCATTTCCTGTTGGACACGAAGATTCACTCTGTTTTGTTTTGTTCTATGCTTATGAGTTTGAACGGTCATTTTTGTATGTTGGCAAAATAAGTGGCTACCAGCTGTTGAAGACAATTGAATTTTTTCAACAGAAAATTTACTCTAGACCCTATTTAACCATTGCAATTGAGAGCTAATCCACAGCCAGATGTAGAAATACATGAATCCAAATGTCCCAAAGAGATCGCTTATAGCTTGGTGTTACCAATTTCAACATTTTTGATTGGGCAAAATGAAACCGCTTGAATGCAAATGAAGTCATGTTTGTACTGAAAGAAGTCGCACTAAGAGCCCGAATGACCACTCCTAATAGAGGAATAACATTCTGATGGCTCATAGTTGAAAAATTCATTGTTGATCATTCTTCTAGTGATTAGCCATTCCACTCTCTTGGTGTGTAGCCACATATGCCGATTAAATATCTTCCACTCTGACCCATGTGGAATTGGCATTTGTCATTCCGTATCCCCCTGTCAGATGTTAATAAGGAAATATGTTATTATACAAAATAAGTGAGATAGTATTTACCTGTTGTAATTTAATTTGTCAGTCTCTTTATCTGTAACAATTGATTAGTCTGTTAATAAATATGCATGCTTTATGCAATTTTTCGCTTTCCTGCGTTCGTATACCATTCATCTTTCACTTCTCCAATTCTAGAAGACCTGGTTTCTAATCCTGTGTTCACAGTTGTCTCAAATGCAGAGAGAGATGTCATAGAAACATAGTTACACTGCGGCACTTAATTGTCTCAAAAAAGGTTTATATTGGAATGCACAATTGGGTCTAATATTGATTTTGGAGGGGTGTGCAATAGACTTACCTCCACGTGATGCACTTTGGACAGCGTATATTCATACGGCAGCAAAGTCTATTAATCGGCACTTGACTTCTGACTTCAAACTACCATGACCCCACTGTATGTCATATTCGACTACTTCTACAGTACGCTCCTCACCTTACCCTTTTCTCTACTTTTGTGTCTACCTCTTTTACGTCTTTGTAACACTCTTTTGTTCCCCCCCCCCTTTCGACCTTTTTCACTTTGATGTTCCTTCCTTTCTGTGAAGCCCGAAGTCAACTAAAGGGCTAAACTTCCTTTCTGTGAAGCCCGAAGTCAACTAAAGGGCTAATGGATAACTATCAAAACGCCTACCATTTGATACAAATAAATATTGATTTTGGAAAACAGTTAATCCCACCGGATCGGTATGACTTACAATTTGCTGTTTTTTTCGTGGTTGGAGAGACGGAACAACTTCTCCGAGACGTGAGACCTTACTTACCAGTATCTTATCAGTCTAAAGAAGAATAGTTTTTCAGATTCCCACTTTCTTCCTTTCTTCTACAGAGTCATTTACCATTATCTAATTACTAAGTTTGGAAATGAATTAAGTTCTTAAATATCAATAACCCGGCCAAAAATGCAAGAAACATGTAACAGTTGAGTGTATATGAAGTTTGTTTGTTTTTAAGGGGCTTTACTATATTTCACGAAACACTCACGTTGCTTAGCTTTAAAATTTACGGTATAAAAAAGAGTTAAACCTAATAGTAACTTGAACATACGAAACTATCTATCCCTGAATATGAGAAATTTAACTAATACCCTATTTTTGAAGATCAGAATTTTCAGATAAAAAGATGTTATTTAAAAGTATGAGAATGAAGACAATTTATATGAATTTTTTATTATTTTCCTCTGTGATTTTCAAATAAATTGGACAAGGTCATGACAAATAATTATTGATTAGTTTTCTTAAGTGTATGGTTTCATGAGGAATTGAGTTTTAAGACTAATTAACTGAGTGGAAACGTCCTCAGACTTCGATCTTCAATGAAGATGTGAAGTGATTGCGAAACTTGAGATTACGTAATCAGCACATTTGACTATATTGATTGGCAGCACCACGATAATATGATTCATTAGGGGAGGAAATGTCTTTGGAGAGTGTGACCTTTTATGTAATCAGTTATGGAGTTTAATGAGGACATTTGGAATTGATCTAATGAAATTTCCTGACCGAGTAGACTGATGACATTTGACTTCATCATTTTATGACACTCTGACGGTATACTTGTCATCTACTGAGCAACCTGAAGTTTAAACTCTCAAATATTATGAGATTATGGGGGTCTGATTGATGGTGAAAGTCATTTGCCCTATCTTTCCTTAACTCTGGCTTCGAGAATTATTGTTAGCTAAATAGTAATCAGCTGGAGTTTGCCCGTTAATAAATCTTTTGTTTATCCATATTTATTTAATTAAAAACGAATTTTGATTACTTGAGTATGTGTGGGCTGTAACGCATTCACTTCCTCACCGCGTGACTTCCATTCTGTTATGCAAATTCATTGTTATGAGCAGTGGATTTTAAATTAATTGGAATCTAACACCGCATCTAATTATAATAATTTTTTCCTCAATTTTCTATTCATATATCAAATGGGCAATCTTGTGTCGAAGAATCATCGATCGTTAATTATGCTCCCATTGATGTACTTGGAATAAATTTTTACTTTAATTAGTGGAAATGGGAATTTCACCATGATTAGTATCTGCTATATATGCAATAAATAGATAAATATAAATAAAATCTCCTGAAGATATTTCACTTCATTAAGGAAAATTCTAGTTGAAATATCAGTTAGAATTAGAAGTGTATGGAACGCCAATCTACATTTTCTCTTAAAATATTTTTAATAAATGCAAATGGAATTTGTTTTAATTGATTAATCAATATTTCCCTATTCAATCATAGCTGATAGTTTCCGATTTATCTATATTTGCTGCATAAACATAAGCATCATTTCCAAAAAGAAGAATAAAGATAAATATAAAATTTTGACATGTTTCTTGATTCCATTTATTGCAATTTGATGGTGAAAAGCTTAAAGTTTCGTTGAGTTCCCTAAATTTAGTTGCAACTTGGGAGGATTTACGAAGCTAAAGTAGTTTCGGTAATGAAATACCATTTTTAGTCTCAAATAATGTTAATGAAATGCCCATCTATTTTAATTCTGGAAGGTGGAAGTAGACTTATAATAATGTTTTGATAAGATTCGGTGTGATTTATTCTTTGGTGTACGGGTCTTTGAATTTACTTTTCACCTGAGAAGGGGTTTCTCTTTGCTGCCATTTAGAAAATTTCATTGACTCATAGGTTAGCGTTGCGGATCGCATTCTGTTTGGCGGCGTTCGGAACTTTGAAGTCCAAGACATCAAAGAGTCCTAATTGTCTTATATTTTTTAATTTGGGTTGAACAATATTTACTAATGGGGGTGTGGGATAGACTTACCTCCTCGTGGTGCACCCTGGGCAACATATAATCATACGGAAAAAAGTCTATTAATTGGCAGTTGACCTCTCACTTCAAACTACCATCACCCCACTGTATGTCATATACCTCTGACTTCAAACTACCATCACCCCACTGTATGTCATATTTCACCACTTCCACAGTACTCACCTCGCCTTTTTTCTACCTTCAGTTGACTCTAGCTACCATGACCCACTGTATGGCATATTAGTCTACTTCCACAGTACTCACCTCACCTTTTTTCTACCTCTGAGTCTGTATACTTCCATAGTACTCACCTCACCTTTTTTCTACATTTGTATCTTCCACAGTACTCACCTCACCTTTTTCCTACCTTTTCTAAGCCTCCACAGTACTCATCTTACCTTTTTCTCTACCTTCGTGTAACACAGTACTCACCTCACCTTTGTTCTACCTTTGTGTCTGTTTAAACTACCATGACCCCACTGTATGTCATATTCGACCCCTTTCACAGTACACACCTCACCTTTTTTCTACCATTGTCTCTCTTACAGTACTCATCTTACCCTTTCTGAGCCTTGGTATCTGTATGTTTCTTTTACATCTGTGAATCACTCTTCTGTTCCCCCTCCTGAATCCTTCTCACTCTGATGTTCCTCCTCCCCTCTGCAAAGCCCGAAGTCAACTAAAGGGTTAATGATAACTATCAAAACGCCTGCCATTTGTTATAAATAAATTTTTACTAATGGGCTAGTTTACGTCCCGAAATTAGAGATTTCTGTATATTGCTGCAAATGCGTGTCAATCGTATTCTGTTTTTTTTCTTAACAGATCAGGGGCGAGATAAGTAAAATTCTTCATTTAACAAATCGATTTTTTCAACTATTTGCACTCTGACCGAAAAAAACTAAACAAATTGCGTAATTCCCTTATGATTTTCAGTGCATTAATTTACTTTTACCCTCTTGCTGTCTTCTGATTGGAGAGGTGTAGTGAAACTTATTCTTAAAAAAAGAAACTGCTCTTTTTTGGGTTAAACGTTTTTACTTGAGTTTATTTCTCGATTGTTCAGTACAAGTGAACGCCATAAAGATAACCTGAAACTTGCATTGTAGTGGAGTGCATTCACTCCAAATTCGTTACATTTCGCCTTTCTCGATGTTCGCAACTTTTGAAGCAAGCCCCCTCTTGATTAAAAATCCTTCACTCTTAGGTTGACTGACGGCTTTATTGAAAGATGTTCAGTGATTGCTTTGAATCATTCTTATCGTAAAACGTTCATTGAAATACCAGTTCACATATATAAGTCTGTGAGGGCTATCCTCACATCACCAAATACATATATTTTGGTAAAGAAAGTTGGAGTTCTTGGAAAGCTAAAAGTGCAGCAACTTTCCTTCGAGCATATTTGACTGATTTGATAATCAAGTAAACAAGATCTTGAGATGGACTGTTGCTTGGGCACAGTTGGCTCGGAAGGAAGTTGTGCTGGAAGGACTTGGACGTGAGAATAACTCGTTTTACGTTTTTTTATTCAAACAATTATTCATCGGTGGCAAACGCCTCGTGTTTCTTTCAGAACTGTCAACAATTAGGAAACTCCTCAATTAACTAGAATAAATAAATAAATCGTCCATTAATTTAAATAAATTAGGCGCTCTTACAGGAGGTAATATTCCACAAAACTGGAGAATCGGGTGGAGCATGTGTAGGAGACCTTGCCCAAATTCATCATCTTTTCTGGGCATATTTCATAGCTAAATCTGACATGAGTATCAAAAATTTGATAACGCCTTGCCAATATTCTAATTGTAACCTATTCCAAAGTATCTTTCGGGTGAAGTTTATCCTCAATTTATTGGCATTACCTCCTCGTTCTTCTCACCTTGTAGTCCTGGGAGAATTTACGTGAACAGATGAAAGGATCTATAACTGCATCAACCCGAGAACTGAAACATTATCTCTTGCAATACTGTCCCTCGCCTTGTATGGCAAAACCCTGTCGGCACATACCTGGCGTGGATATTCCGAACGCTTGCAACACTGTCGGGCCGTTTGAGGTATTTATTTATTTATTAATTTATTTATTTCAAATGGCAGGCGTTTTGATAGCTATCATTAGCCATTTAGCTGACTTCGGGCTT